ACACACACACACACACACACACACACACACACACACACACACACACACACACAAACACTGACAAAATAATACCAGTGAAGAAAAGGGCAAATAATTCCAACACAGCAATGACAATTTTAAGAAAGATGTACAAATGTCCAACAGATAAAAAGATGCTCAAGTCCTCTGGCAACTGAAATAAAATAATGAATCATTACATCATTGCCATGTATTAAAAACAATGAAGCACTGGGTATGGTGACATATGTCTGTGGTCTCAACTACTTGTAAGGCTGAAGGGTCATCTGAGTTTAGGAAGCAGAGGCTAGCTTGGGAACACAAACCTCATCTCGAAAACTAACAAATGTTGGTCAGTTTTGGTACTCAGAAGCCGAAGGCAGGCAGATCTCTGTGAGTTTGAGGCTACTCTGGTCTTCATAGCTATTTCTAGGTCAGCTAGGATTACATAGTGAAACCCTACCTCAAAACAAAACAACAACAAAAAGAAAAAGTGGGTGAAAGCCTATAATCCCAACAGTTAAAAGACCGAGGCTGGAGAATCACAAACTCTAGGTTTTGTCTTGCCTATACAGGAAAATTCAAGAACAGCCTAGGATACAAAGCGATTCTCAAAAACAAAACAAAAAACAAAGCCAATAACAACAAAAACCAATAACCCACCCTACCCTCCAAAACAACACACATACAAAAGGCAAAAACAAACAAAACTAACATAAAACTAAAACCAAAAAGTGAAAGATTATCTATACACTGAATAGATATGAGGGGAAAGTGTCCTCGTCAGTCACTGGTACTATGACTATGCGAGACAACACTAAAGACCCTCTTGATCCACAAAGAAACAAGCTCAATGGCCCAAGGACACACGTCCCAAGATTCTAGCTGTAACACTGCCTACTATGGCCAAGGATCAGAATGCATAAAGAAAGCTGGGCAGTGATGGTACACACCTTTAAAACCCACCATTTGGGACCCAGAGGCCAGCCTGGTCTATAGTGGGAGTACCAGGACAGCCAGGGCTACACAGAACAAACCCTGTCTTGAAAAAGTAAACAAACAAAAAAATTAAAAGAAGAAGAAGAAAAAAAAAAAAAAGCATCAGGAAACAGGGAATTGACAACACATTCTAAGCTGACCTGAGTAGTGGGGAACCAATTCCACAAGATAAAACCAAGTGTTCAAATCATGTAACATTATTTGAACAACAGAATCCCATTTTAAAATTTCCTTTTAAAAAGTTTTATTTTTAGCCCGGCAGTGGTGGTGCACACCTTTAATCCTAGCACTCGGGAGGCAGAAGCAGGTATCTCTGTGGGTTCAAGGCCAGCCTGGTCTACAGGGTGAGTTTCAGGACAGCCAGGGCTGTTACACAGAGAAACTACCATCTCAAGAAACAAAACAACAACAAAAAGTTGTTCTTTTTTTAATCATATCGTATGTGAGATGAGAGAGATTGTGAGTGCAGACACCCAGAGATATGAGGAGAGGGCATCAGATCCTCTGCAGCTGGACTTACTGAGCTGCCCTATGTAGGTGCTGGGAATCAAACCTAGGTCCTCTACAAGAGCAGTAAATGTTCTTAATTGCTAAGCTATCTCTCTAGCCCCTAAGATTCTTTTTGTTTTGTTTGATTATGGGGGGCCATGCTAAGTGGCTCAGGCCGACCTCAATTTTCAATTCTCCTGCTTCAAGTCTTTCACATAGCTAATTACAGACATATAAATTTCACTTTTAAAGTCAATGATAAAAAATCTGGATATGTAGATAAACATGCAATGGATCTTGTGAGAATCTGGCTTACCATCTTAAAACAAAATCCCTGCCTGTTTGCTGGCCACCCATGAAGAATGACATGTGAGGTGTCTTTGACAGGGAATCTGATACCATCGTTAGTAATAGAAGGCAGGAAGTTCCAACATCCAGATGTACTTGCACTCTTAAAAGGGAAGCCACATCGTTAAGATGCAGCCCTCTGCCTCCCCCATTCAGTAGAAAGAGAAGAAAAGGCAAGGTAAGTAGGAGGTAAGTCAGGACTGCTCACACAGGAGCAGTCAGACAGTGATTCCAAGTAAATGTTCATAGCAAGGGGTGGAAATAGCCCAGAGGGAATGGATGCTTACACAGTTGCGTTTCTTGCATGGGAAGACTGAGTCTGAGAGACTGCAAAGCTTCTTTTCTAACACTGCCCTCAGCACTAGTTCCCTGAGACTTCCTTAGGTTGTCATGGAAAACATCCACACCTGCAGAGGCATCAGGTCCCACTGGACTTGTTGTGGGATCAAGAGACAACGGAAGGTCTGAGAACTGCCCATTCTGACAGAGGGCCTCCTGGCTGGATCTATCTGGGCTTCCTTCTTCCCTAAAAGCTCTGTTTACCTCAACACTGGCATCTGGAAAGAGAGAAAGTATGTTAGACACAGGGTTTTGAAATTTTTAGGTCATTTAGACATACCGTATATATACATCCCGTGAGCATAGCATTTCTACATTTTATGTCTGTCTTCTGACCACAGCTGTCTTGGGCAAAGCCTCAAGTCCTCACCTGTACGTTGGCCTCACCCTCCACACTATGGCTGTGATATTTAAATCATGTTTCCTTCCAACTTAAGAAAAATAAAAACAAAAAATGTTGAAAGTCTATTTCTTTAAAGTCTTGGGGGGAGGGAGGAGCAGATGCTTAAAACACAGGACTTTTTCTAACATGTGCAGGTGACAACAGGGTTAATCAGAGTCCAAGCTCACATTTTCAAGGACTGGTTTCAAGGTAAATTCAGAATATGTTCTTCTCCAAAGAGATAGATGATCTAATCAGACTGATTCTAAATGCTGATTCTGATGCTAAAGTGAACAGAAACCAAACTTTGTTTTGGCTTGATGAGCAAGGGTTAGGTATTATAAAAACCCAATTTCACAAGTGAGGTGTGGCTATTCATGCCTAAGTCTCAGCATTTGGGTGGTACAAGCAGGAAGATCAAGAGTTTATAATCATCCTTAACTATACAGCAGGTTTGAAGAAAGCCTGGCCTCCAAGAGACCTTATCTCAAAAACATTAAAAAATGTAAAACCCAAGTTTACCCACAAGGACTCCATTTATGGCCCAAACCCAACCTCACCCACTGCCATTATTGTATAAAAAACTAAAACACAGTTCTTTCTCAGAAGATAAAGAAAAATGTTGTAAAATTAAGTCAAATGTAAGACTTTCTTCTGCCTTCCTCTGGTGGGTAAACCAGTTATCAATAATGAGGGAGGGAGGGGGGTCCATCCGAGGCATTCCTAGGCTCAGTGACCTAAGATCTCACAGGCACCAACATCACTGGGTACCCAGACACACCCAGAGAATGCAGGAAATTCCTTCTGTTGCTGTTCAAGCCAAGTAAAAACAGGATTGTTATTTACAAATATAAAGTCCTGTTACTGATGTTCCTCCTTGAAAAAAAAAAAAAGAAAGATGCAAGTAGAAAGCATCTACTTGATATTGTGATATTGTGGTAGGACACAGATAGTCCCTCACTGTCAGCTTCACGAAAGGGCACCATTTACTAAAAGGTGCAGGATTGTGGTCCCACACCGTTACCCTTTATTGGGTGCAGGGATTCTGCATTTCAGATACAAGCTACAGTGGTTAGCACCACTTTCTGACGTGCATGCTACAGAATGAGTTCTGAGCATCACACTTAAACAAAATCTAAAAGCAATAGGACCCAGTAGGTACCAAGACTTTGTTTCCAAACACAAGCTTAAATATAAACATCATGGGGAAGAGAAGACAAAAATGGCTCCATCCACTTACTAGATGCTCTCTAGGCAGTAGACTTACCTCAGGGCTTCACACATGCCAGGCAAGCGTCCTACTACTCGTTACATTCCAGCTCTTTTGGCACGTTATATATATATATATATATATATATATATATATATATATATATATATCGATCACTTCTTTTAAACCTCACAACTACCCAATGCATAGGTTCTATGTCTCACTGAGTGGTAGATATAAGTGGTTATACACAGTACTTCCTTTAACTCCTTCAACTACCCATGACAGTGGGAGATCTAAGTTCTCCCAAGTGGCAGATCTAAGATGTTCCGTGCAAAAATCCACTGTCTCTGGCATGAATTCCAGTACCTGCCTCACTCACTGCATGTTAACTGCCTGACTATCATAAGATCCACAATGCAATTTCTGCTAGAGAACCAGTACATAATAATTTATCCTTTTAAAGTTAATATTGCTCACTAGTTCGTGACTGCTTGGGATATAGGATCATCTGAGTTATTGCTGATGCACAGACAACAGAGAACATGATTCAGGGATCCTAGACCACTAATCAGTTCCAGTTACTAAAACTGAGGCAACCAAACAACCAAAAAGGCAAAATTCAAGCACTAACAATGATTCACCAGTGGAGATCTACAGAAGCCTTCTCTTCTATTGACCACAGACTGTGCTTGATCTAAAATTAGCACCAAATGAAAATATCTGTAAGACTCTGACCCCATCTTCTTCAGAGTGAAAAGCTAGTGCACAGGATGGCCTGATGACTTACACTGAGCTCTATCTTCTTGGTCAGGCGGTAATGCCAGTGAGTCCAGCGTCTCCAGTGAGGCTTCAGGACAAGACGAAGTATCACTTCTGGACTCGTTTTCCCAGAGGCCACCCTGCTTGGCTGATGCACCATCCATTGTCAGGGCAGCTCGGACTGAGAAGACTCTGAGGAGCTACAACTAACTCTGGATTACATTTGGGTTTTGCCATCAGCAACAGCTCAGAGCTTCTAGGAAGGAGCTTAGTTTGTTTTCCATATTCAGGGTAAGGTTTAATGGCTCACAAATGCCTTGAAGTCAAACCAAGTAATACCATGATTCCTGATAGAAGGAAAAAGAAAAATGCATTATGAAACTTAATTTGTTAGATTTCAAGTAACAGTTACAAGGCTCCCAACTTCTATAGAAAACAAATACAGGTTTCCACACCAAAAACAATCCTTGAGTACCTACAACATCCTACGTTTTGAGGGTAAAATATCAAACCAGCCACACCTTAGCCCGTTCCTAAGGGCTCTCCTAGTGGCAGTTACAGGAAGTTCTACCACAAATGATTCTCCAAGGTTTTTTTTGTTGTTGTTGTTTAAAGAGCTTGTAATCTGTTGCAGCTGCCATGTGGCAACTGAGGAACTGAACTTTAAATTTCATTTAAGTTTGATCTGAACTTAAATAGCCATTTGTGGCCAAAAGCCTATGAACCAGACAGGCCTATGTACCCATAAAATACCTGGAAGGACCATGCCAAAACTAAAGCTCCTACTAGGTAAATTCTATCCCGGTAAGCCATGCAACTCATATCGAGAGGAGTGAAAATTAATGAAGCAATTGGCAAAGGATGAGGTAACAGTGTGCTAGATGGGGAGATCCTAAAGGGAGATCTGAGGACACACAGAAAGGCATCTAACTTAGCAAGTGGGCAGAGAAAGCATCTCATAAGAAGTGGCCATCCACTTTTTCCTATTAGCGGATAGTAATCGCTATGGTAGATTAAGTTTAAAAAATATAACTTCATCATGCATCTGGCAATTAGTCATGAACTCTGAAGTGTGTTGATGGTATTACTAACTTATTTCCTTATCAAAAGGTAAGATTTAAGTATAAGTTTCCAGACATAATGTAGGCATGTTGGTATCTATGTTTTTCAGAGTAAGTTCCATATTATTACTTCTGCTCTATGCTTAACATGTTTCATAACAAAATAACCTACATCCTGAGCTTACAAATACTGAAGCCTAGTGTGGTAGCACACGGTTTTTATCCCAGCACTCAGAAGGCAGAGGCAGGTGGATCTCAGAGTCTGAAGCCAGCCTGGTCTCCATAGTGAGTTCCAGGCCAGCCAGGGCTACAAAGCTGAGACCCTGTCTTAAAAAAAAAAAAAAAAAATCACACTGAGAAATTACAGGTAAGAGGCCTGAGAGGATGGTGCTCATTAACAAGGCGTGACGCTGACTCAAAAGTAGAGCTAGCATACTGATACCTATTACTGCAGACAACTATCCTCTGACTCCATCTGTGACTGATGATTACCTGTGACTGAGGGAACCACCAATAATAAAGTGAGTTCAGCCTATGCCTGAACTCACTTAGCCAATGCCTAGTATAGGTCTAGTATAGGACAAATATAAAAGGAAGGCAGCCAAGGAGTCCCAGAGATACTATACCTCAGAAGTAGTGACAATGTCCATAACTTAGACTGTCCATAGACAAACATTAGCCAAGAAAATTCAAGTTCCATAGATGATGTAAATTTGGCGACAAGTTCATCAGGTTGTCACAAGCTAGACATATTCCCCTCTTAATTTCCTTGTTGATCAAGACACCTGACTACTAAGCAGTCCTTTCTTTCAGAGATGGATGGAATGGTACAGCCATCCAGAACACCAATCACAACTGAGTCTGGTTAAGTCACTCAGATAGCTCCTGCTCACAATCAGCTAGCTCCTCATGAAGTGGATCTACAGACAGAATTTCTAGTCTGTACCAGGAGTTGGGCTTCTGACAGCAATCCTGCCTGAAGGGCAATAAACTGGCATTTACTGTCTAACCTCAGTCTTCTTTGAATTTTGGTAAGCATACAGGGTCTCATTACCCCAGACTGCTGACAAGGGCAAATCTCCAGGCATCAAGGAAGATGAGACAGCTGGGGTGGGGGTAGCAGGAGGCACAAAAAAAAGCTGTTTTTAGCAATACACACTACACTTGTGACTGTTTCAAATAAAGAGGTCATTTTTATATAGTTATCTTTTTGTTTTTCATTTGTTTGGTCAATTTGGTTCTTTTTATGCTTATGTATACACACATCTTTAGGTGTCATTCATCTTGTTTTTTTGAGACAGAATCTTTCACTGACCTGGAATTCATCAATAAGAATATGCTGGCTAGCCAGGAAGCTCCAAGGATCTGCCTGTTTCCACCTCCTCCCCAATGCTGGAGTTACAGTGTATACTATCATGCCTAGCTTTCTTACATGGGCTTCAGAAAAGGTTCAGAATCAAGTTTCTCATGTTCTAGAGCAAGCACTTTACTGACTGAGCTATCTCAGCAAGCTTAATTTGTTTTGGGTTTGGGTTTTTGTTTTGTTTTGTTTTTCTAAGACAAAGGCTCAATATAGAGCCCAAGATAATTTCCAACTCATACATTCTCCTGATTCCACTTTCCGATTGCTAGGATTAGAGTCCTGTGCCACTTCACTCAACTTACAGTTTCATGTTTAACCACATGCACTCCCATTTCTAAAAGGCAGACCAAAGCGACCACTGAGAATCCAACCCTAACTTTAGCAGTTCACCTAGATTCGAGCTTTGCCCAGCAGTCCATGAACATGGTCCACAAACAATAGCTACCCTATTACTGACGTTATCATCAATTAGACATGAAGCATAGCCAAAGATAAAACAGGACTTTCTGAAGATGTCTGGTTGATGCGACATGATTGAGCAATAGCAAATAGCACTCTATATAAGTAAAAACCGAAGACCAGGCTCAGGTACAGCAAGGACATAAGTGACATGTTTTGAGTTAAACATGTTTGCCTCAACTCCTATTCTTCCATTTGGTTGTTGTTAGGTAGATTTTTTGAGCCACTCTTAGCTGATTTCCTCATCAATAAAAACACAGAGAAAGGAATACAAAATTTTTGCTAGGACTGACTACAGCAAGATATAGGATCTGGTCATGCCTCTGATAAACAGGTGCAATTATTCCTCCTTTCAACAGCTGTCCAAATTTGAAAGTAAAAGCCAAACTCAAGTTATAGTCTCACTTGAGAAAATAATACTACTTAAAGAAATATGCCAAAACCCAGCTACTTTTAAATCTGAATAACATCATTTCCTTTCTTTTCTGGGGAGTAGGGAGGAGGCAGGATTTTCCAAAGTGTGTCTGTGTTCATACGCACAGATGTGTGAAGGTGAGAGAGTGAGAGTGAGAAAGTGGGATTTTCCTTCCACCATGGGGCTTCCCGAGAACTCAGGTTATCAGACTCTTTATAACGGTTAACCACTGAGCCATCGTTCCAATCTGCTTTTGGATTTTGAGACAGAATCTTACTATGTAGCTTGGGCCTCAAGTTAGTTATGGTCTTCCTGTCTTGGCTACCCAAGAGCTGGTAGTACAGACAAGTGCTACCACATAAAGCTTTTTTCTTTTCTTTCCATTCAAGTTATACTGTAACTAAGGGCTACTAAAGGATTCTAAAAGGGCATGAGACATCTGTAAATGCCTTACAAAATCCACTTAAAATAAAATACAAACCTCCTAACCTAAACTAGAGATCACTTTTATATGGTTCCTACTTAAGTCTGCACCCCTCACATACTGTGCCTTTTTTTTTCTTTTAATCTGACTCAGAAGTACAACTGACTCTCCACAGGGTCTCTACACTTCTTGACCACTCTTTTTGAGACATTCCTATCAACAATTTTTCACAGAAGCTTCTTGTCACGGACGTCTGCCTTGACTCAAGCCAACTCTTCCGCAGGCCGGACAAAGCTAATCCTCTCAACAACTGTTTTGAGTTGTCAGTATACCTCCACCGTAAAGTGAGAGGACAGAAACCACAATTCTACTGTATGCAGGGACCTGTTAACAAACAAGGCCTGTCTTTCCATGCACATTCAGTAAGCGCCTGTGGAAAGGTGGTGAGCTGTTCACCTAGCTCTCTCTGGTCACTGATTCCACTGTCCGCGTTCAGCAGCACCGTGAAACACCTCTGAGCACCAGAACCGAAACAGTAAGTTCCCCCACGTATTGAACGACTTGCCACCATGTCACGTTCGTCATCAACTGTAAAAGGAGCAGACTTCAAAACGCTGACCCAACCAAGCAGCAGTAGCACAGGCTCTCAGGGCAGACCGCATCCCGTGAGGTGCAGAGGAAGCCCCTGCATTTACCAAGCCGGTACTGACACGAGCTGCGACGCAGGTTTCCAGCCCGTGTGAGTAAAAGGAAAAGCTGACTTGAGCTGGCCGCCGCTGGTCCAAAGTCTGCGTGACCCTCCCCGGACTCTGCATCCGACTTGTTGACGCTTGCCTGTCCGAGCGCGGCGTCGCCCCAGCAGTCCCTCCACCGTCCTCCACCACAAGGCCCCGACCCTCCTTAATACTAGCCCCACAACCCTCACCCGTTGCGGCCCAACCCTGCGGCTCCGGTAGGACGTGGCCGTACAAGGGGCGGGGCGCAACAGGGCACCAGTCTCAAGCAACCCCCCGGAAACAAACTGTCTGCGCGGCCTTCGTTCCGGAAGAGAGACTGTCCTCTGTGGCCACTAGCCACCACTAGGGCTCGGGTGGATTTCACTCGGGCAGAACTGAGGTAGCCTTCAGAAAGTGGCCTTAAAATTTTGTGGGCCTTCCCTTCAGAGAAACAACTTCCAGCCTAAAGGACCAAATCAGACCGGAAAAACAAATAAACAAAAAAAGCCCTTGAGCTTCCGGCGGCAGTGGCGTAACCAGGACTCACCACCCTCCCGCCCGCTTGCGGCCTTCTAACTGGTGGGTATGATGATCCACGTAGCCACTCCCTGGGGCGTGGTTTTCCCACCCGACACTGCCTACACGGAGGTACAGGAGCCTAGTTTGTGTTAAGCCAGCTGTGCCACGCGACTGTATTCCTAGCACAGGAAGTCTGAGGCAGGGTATCACAAGCTCAAGGCATGACTGGACTATAAAGTGGGATTTGTCTTAAAAAGTGGAAAGATGTTTGGAATGTAGCTCAGAACTCTTGGGTTCAATTTCTAGTATGTCAAGAGACAGGAAGAGGAAGGAGAAGCAAACAAATAATATATTGAACTCATGACACATTCACATGGAAAAAAATAGTAATTTTTTTTTTTTTTCCAGCGCTGGAGACCGTGTCCTGGACCTTGACCGAGACAGCAACCTCACCACCTCCAAGCTACATTTCCAATCCCAAATAAAACTTGCCACAGCTTTACTAAGGTATAATTTATATGCTATAAAATTTGCTCGTGTGTACAATTTGATTATTTCAACAAGCATGTAGTTGTATACGCATTTCTATAATCCAGCTATAAGTGCACTTTCATGGCAGTAGCTGTCTGTCCTCACCCCCTCTTTCAGCCCCTGGTGACCACTAAGTTTTGTTTCGTGGAGTGTGCTTGCCTGTCCATTTCATATAAATAGGATTCATGTTTAAACTGATGTCTGTTTAGCGGTACTAGTGCTCAGGAGGTGGCCCTGCTACAGAACTTACTTCATGTGGCTAATTCTATCTGGTGAGTGTGTAAGGCTGGTCTCTCCCACTTGTGGGCCTCTGTTCTCCTTTCTTGGTGAGACCTTGCCCCTTTCTTTATACAGCCCTGACAGTACCTGAATATTAACTGTGTGTATACCAAAACTTGAGGGGAGGCAGAGAGAAGGCAAAACCAGAGAACACTCAGGGACAATGTCTGGGTTCCTCCATCTGGACTTTTGTGGGGTTTTTTGTTTTGTTTTGTTTTTTAATTAAGTTTCAGTTTTCTACTTCTGGGCTTCTGGGTCTGTTAGTTGAGCCTCTGATAGCTATGAGCCTCACTCTGGCTCATCATTCTAAGGCTGCCAGACCAATGCAGGATAGGCTGTCACCAGGTTCCCCTCAACTGGAAGAAACCCATACTGGACTCCTATCTGCATCTGTGGTTTAGCTGTGCCTTTGAGGCAAAAGCCAGTTCAGAGGTAGGGAAGCCTGATAGAATCTTGGTCTGGCCATCCTCACCCCACAGTATCAGGTAATCAAGATGAATAAACCTGAAGATATACTCAGCTCTTTATATTTGGGAACAGGACCTCCTTGTTTTAAACCAACTTTCTCAGTTGTAAGTGGAAGTCTGGCCCGGTGAAATTTTCCTGGGGTCAGCCTGGTCACCCCTAAGACCTTCTTCTGGCTTGAGCTTGGAACTCTACAGTGCAGGAAGGGTTCTTCTGATAGCAAAAGGAAAGGCAAAACAGCTGGCACAGCAGGAATATGGGCCAAGCTGATTCCAACTTCAGACAGGGTTACAAGGAAGATGGAGTGCCCCTTACTGTACCAGGAAGCAAAGGCCAGTGGACAACTTCAGACAGGGTTACGAGGAAGACAGAGTGTCCCTTACTGTACCAGGAAGCAAAGGCCAGTGGGCATCTGGAGGCCCTACTCTGGGTGTGTTCCAAGGCTAGGCTCAAGAGCTACTGAAAAAACAGTCTGTGCAATCCTGTGAGGAAGTCTGCAGATTATATAGGGCACAATAGGGCTGCTGACAACTCCAGATTGTTGGTTTTTTGGGTGGAGTGGTTCAACTTTTATTATCAACTCGACTGAGTTTGAGGTCACCTAGGAAACACAACTCTGGGTGTGTCTGTAAGGTTGTTTCCACAGAGGTTTAGATGAGGAGAAAAGACCAACCCTGAGTATAGGCTGCACCATCCCATGGGCGGGGTCCTCAACATGAACAAAATGCAAAGAGAAAGCTGAGCACCAGCATTCATTTTTCTCTCTCTCTCTGGATGCAGATTCAATTTGGCAAGCTACTTCACACTCCCGCCAACATGCCTTTCCCACTACAATGACTTTCAAGTTGGGAACCAAAATAAGCCCTTCCTTTTTTCACATAGCAAAAAGAAAAGTAACTAATATAGATGGTGTGAAAGAGTCTACAGAAATGAAGTTTAGATCACCATAAAGATATCGACAAGCCTGCCTCTATAAGCAGTTCAATCATACCCAAGAATGATCAGCAAGGCCAAAAGCTCCCTTATGCTAGGCATGTAGGCATTGTTCTCTCCACCATGAGCTCATCAGAAATTCTGTGGAGTCCCTTCAGTCCCTCTGAAGTAACTCTTAGACATCATGCTTCCTTAAAGAATTGAGGATTAGGTGATTCCCAAGGAGCTTGATGCCTCAGGTACATCCCTCTGGAATAGGATCCTACAGACCTGAGTTCGGGTCCTATTAAACCCAGATGCTAAATCCTGAGTGTAGGGGCAGAGATTGAATACCAAGTATCAGAGCTTGAGGTTCAGATAACGCATTCACACTGCCCAGGTCTGACAAAATAAAGATACTGCCCTGTGCCATGATCAAAGATGTTAAGGTCTGGAGCCCAAACAAGTCCTGTTTGCTCACCTCTTAACATTATCTGTTTGTGGAGCCACCGGATTGACTAGCAGGCATATAGAAAACATTATGAGTAGTGAAAAATTAGTGTAATGAAGAATTAGTCTGCATTAACATGGAGCATGTGGTACCTCACATATGAACACAACACAAGAAGAGAAACAAACACAGCTCATTTATTAGAATAAAAAAAAGGAGAGAACCTTCTCCCACAAACACAGAGTGCTGCCTCTCAGTCTATATCAAGAGCAAGACAACAGTTGAAAATCGTATTCCTGAGAAGCAAAAAGTTAGCAGTTTGCAAACAAACATAACAGGTGATCTCAATAAAAGATTTTTTTAAAAAAAGCTTAAAAAAACCTGAAAAACAAAATTTCAAGTATTGTTCCAGATTACATGGCAAACCTAATGTACCAGGCAGGGCTTGGAAAGCAGAGGCCTTATCAGTCTGGAGCCATCTGGAGTTTCAGCAGGGGGCTGCTCTCAGGGACTGGAGGGCTAAGGTCAGAGGCTGTACCCTGCTAGACAAGAGGCATTGGCCAGCCCTGTGTCAAGGACCTGGATACTCAAGACATCCTCCTCAGGATTAGCAGTTTTGGACATTCGATCTTTTTTTTTTTTTTTTTTT